TACTCCAAGAAGCCAACTTTAGGAAAATCTGCTCTTATTAGAATATTTAGAATATGAAGTAAAAATGTAGTGTTATATTTTTATTATGTATTATTAAATAAATGTCATATAATATATATTATATAATTAATAAGAAAGTATATAAAGGTATTAATATTTTGTATGTGTAGTGTACGTATTTATACCATTTATTTTTTTATACATGTATTTATTTATGTATTATTAAGAGATATGAAACTTAAAACATTATTGATATAACAGACAAATTAAACATTACAAAATTAAAAACAAGTATAAATGTTGACTCGTTTATAGGTATGCAAAGCAATATTTAACAATTTAAGTAATCCAGTTAAGATCAATGATTTTAATAAAGCTATATTTAAATGAAACATCCAAATACATTGAGATATCGCTGCTCATTTTTTTTCTATCTAAATTAATAAATTTATTATGTATCTAAACGCTTAGCTCGTTTTATTAAAATTATTGACTTTCATTAGATTACTTAAATTGTTAAATATTATAAAATTAAACATTGAATTAACTAAATTGAAACCGTTATTATTGAAACTTAGTGGATATTATACTTAAATTTATCCATCAAAAATATATTAAATATATAATAATTATATGTAATATAAATATATTCCTATATTCTCTGCTAGTCATTAGAATAGTCAATAAAATGTAAAATTATTTCGTATTTTCGATGAACCTGCAAAATTATAAATATTCAAAGCATCCGAATGATTACAAACGCGATATTATGACGGCTCGTTCATCATATCTGGCAATAATGTTAAAGGAAGACTAAATAAGAGTTCGTATCATGAGATGTGAATCAATGATGAATCTGAGTTTCGCCATATTCCACATAATTCCCTTCGTTCGCTCGTGACCCTTGCGGTGAAACCGTCCGTATGTTCGTACCCCTTTTCTAGGGGCTGGCATAGTTTAATATACAAGGCACGGGAGAGCGATCCGGCTTCTCGACCCCAGGATTTCGTTATAAATAAGGGTCGTGCACTCGCTCTGTGGTACCGCAGAAGAAGAAACGCTAACGCACGAGGTGCTAACCGTTATACGTTCTCGTTTTCGTCGAGCTAATTCCACCGGCCATTACTCTTCTCCCGTACCGAGAGCAAGTCGAGGAAGTGTTCGATACAAAGCACGCTCTTTTCGTAACAAGCAAGAAAATTGAATCGATCGTTGCCAGAAAAGGTAATGATTGATTCCGTCTGTTGTTGTGAACAACAAGATTTTCAATACGACTTTAATTATACTAACGTATAACATTTTATCCTCGAAATATTTTTGCTTAACTTATTAAATAGAATAATTTTATTGTTATAATATCCCGGCAATTCAATTTTGTAATTCATTTATAATTTATTAGTTTTAATAAAAAAATGTTGAATTGATTCAATTAATTCTTCAAGTTCCTTTATCCTGAAATGCGAAATGCAGTGGAAAAATTCACTTGATGAATTCACTAAAGAATTTATTTGTAGTGGTTCGCATTTCTCCTGAGATTAGATAAACGTGAACAGAGATAGAAGTGAAAAGAAACAGGAAATAGTTCAACAATCACAAAACCAATTTCCGGATTTGAAGGCTAGAGTTCGTATCTTCGCGAGTTGCCTAACTATTTATATCGCTTTAATTTATCTACTTCCTACAAGTACTACCATCGCAACTGTATATAACAACAATCCAGAAGCGTGGAGAGAGAGAGAGAGAGAGAGAGAGAGAGAGAGAGAGAGAAAGAAAGGAGTACATAAATCACGTAACCGGAAATAATTTTCGCTTTTGTGGGTTTTTTTTCTCTTGCCTCTGGAAAAGAAAAACAAACCGGATCGCCTTCGTTCCTTTCTCGTACCAACGCTCTTTCCTCGTCCGTACTTTCCGTGATTCTCCCCGGATTCTTGCCGCACGCGACAACATCGGGAACCAGCTATAAATTTTCCGCGCACAAAGCGAACGAAATTCAAGAAAGTACCGGCCTCTATGTCTCGCGTCACGCGAGGCACCGATAACATTAACGAGCCAATCCTCGCGACGACGACATCCCAGCGCGCGTGTGATCCTCCGACGATCGAAATGCGAAAGGGTGTGTTATCGTTCCGCGACTTTCACCCTCCATACTTTACACGTGGACCTGGACAAATTACAGGAAACCTTGCTGGCCATAGAAAAAAAGTTACTCTTCGTTCCTTCCCTTTTTATTTTATAAAAAGAACACTTTCTCTGAAGCCCCGAATATCCGACGAACATGAGTAACCACTTTTGCTAAGTTATTATTTCGTTTCCATGTGGATACTTTTTCCAGCAAGAGTCGAGAATTGAATGCTATCATTGGGCACAAAAGCATAAATTGGGCGACAATTTTATGTAGTTTCCACAAGTATTATGAACGGGCTGGATTCAAAATTCTAGCAACAAATCTAACGCTGTCATGCGACAATTTTATCGCAGTTCCTTAAGGCTCCTGAGTAAATAATCGTAAAAAGTGATAAAAGGCACGTATAAGTGAAAATAAGCTATGCATGCGCATTGAATAAAAGCACCTAATGTGCTTTTTATCACTTTTTACAATTATTTATTGACTGTTAGGAGGGATAAGTTTAGTTTTCGTTCATTTTTACAAATATTTTAAAGCAATCTCATCATTTTGTTTCTAAATTGTCTTTATTTATAAATGGCACATAATAAAAATTAATGTGTCATTTTTCATTTCTGATATCATGATCAATATAGTTATGATGACTACTCAGGAGCCTTAAAAGAGGATTGCTAAGAATTATGAGTGAGCTAGTATTATACAAGCAAGACTTCCATATATTACTTTAAATACGAAGCGCCACTACAGTCCGAATGTTAAGATGTTGCACTGTCATATATTATTCATACAAATAAATTAATTTCAGAAATGATAATTGCGTGCCGATATAGATTGTCGGACTTTCAACGCAATCAATCTGAAATATTAATAATCCCCCCAAATTTCCCAAATTTAATCTGAAAAAACTGTAATAAACTTCCATATATAATATCCGAAAGATATTAGGTGGGACACATATGCGAAATTTCGCAGATTAGATCAGTCAGATAACTTCCGGTGTCATCTCGGCGTCGCAAAAAGCGAAATTTACGCACTGATGACAGTTTGAGAGGTCCCAGTGGCGCATCCCTCCCTGCGGCTAATGTACTAGTCGTTCTCTCGTCATCCCGCCCTACATTGCAGATTTCCCTCTCTGGCAGCAGCGCGGCGTGTCGAGAGTGTGTAACGCGCCGAGAAAGTGCGCGCATTTTCTTCCCCTCCGCATTAGGAGGAACGTTTGTACGCTTCTCGGCCTCCGCAAGCCTTCTCTTCCCTCGCAGCCCTTTGCCTTTTTCTTTTCCCTCCGACGCCAGATGCTGCTAACTGCGCTCACCCTGATGAGATCCTGGTCCTCTCCTCTCCTCTCCTCTCCGCTCCGCTCCGCTCCGCTCCTCGCCTTGCCTCGCCTCACTTCGCGCTGCAGCTCGCGTCTCTTCTTCCTCCCTTTCGCTTCCCGCCGATCCATCTTCCTCGAAAAAGACGGGATCGCGCTACACGGCCGCTTTATTCGCCCGAGCGAGGAGGAACCACGGATTCTTTATATTCGCTGACTGCTCTTGTTATTGTAGCGGAACTGATGGTCATTCGTTCCTCGGCGATATCACGGCGGAGCGGAGTATATAAGTATATAAGTAGCGTAAAAATCGTGGGATTTCAAATAAGATTGCATTTGAGATACACTGTTAGAAATGTTCTTAAATTTTATTAACTTTTAAGTTACACAATTTGAATTTAATTTCATGACATTATATTAAATTTAATGTATTTATAACTAAAAAGTATATTTGTGTACATGTTTAATGTATTTTTAACAAAATGTATTTTTAACAAAATTTAATGTATTTTTCATGAAAATTTAAAAAATTTAATGTACATATTCATATTTAAGTAACTAAATTTTCAGTTAAATCATTCATTACTTTTAATTTCGTTCATAATCATGAGCTTTCATGTGAAGAAAACATTTCTAATAGTATAAAAGAGAGTAATATTAAAATTTTGAAAATTAATGAAGGTTATCTGAAATATTTTTCAATATCAATAATATCATGATAACGTTATGGATAATTTTGTTTAAAATAACTTTGCGAACTTCTGACATATAGTAATTTGCCATAATAATTTTTTATTAATCATTATTATTAATATATCTACTAAGAATTTTTAATATAACAACTTTGTAATTAAAAACTATTTTTGTAATTAAAAAACACAACTTTATATCAAATAGTAAGTCCAACGAAAATTCTTAGATTTGAAGATTGATCGGAGGATCTGTTACTAAAATTAAAGTAAATCGTGTGAGGTACATTGTGCAATTTTTAGATAAGATTTTCGAAATTGTCATTTTATAGGCATATCAATCTTTGATAGATCGAACCGGTCTTCGAGTCCGATTTAACTTCATCGTTTCCATTAAACTGTCATCGAGTCAGCAGTACGTCTCGTCTGTAGACTTAACCAAGTTTGACGAAACTTTCCTTCGCGAAATTAGACATCGAACTACTTGTATGTCCACCAAACTTTCTTCGATCTCACGAACGTCAAATTTCTTACGCGTTACCATGATATTGAAGGTTCTTGTCAGCCGTTCTTGATAACGTCATAAAGAAGAAAATGAAAGCGAATAATTTTTCGAATTTAAGTAAGCAAGTGACTTTGTATTAAAAAAATAACAAAGAAACCGAAATGACTGAACAAGTAATAGTAAGTGTAATTGCAAAAGAAGAAAGAGAGAGAGAGAAATATGTACGTGTTATGAAATCGCAATGCAGCGTTTAATATTGACGAAGTCAGGTAGAATTACGGTTAAAAGTCGAGATTGTCTATCTCGTAAAACTCCATCAATCTTGCGTGAAGTGACGTATCACTAAAACGATCCTGCTTTTTGTTTCAGCTCTCAGAGCTCGAACAGCGGGTGTTAGAGGCAGAGGGCAGGGCGGACGAAGCTGAAGACAAGGTAAGCAAACATATTGATATCTCTAGAATGGAAATACAGTACATGGAAATATAGTACATGTTCAACATGCATGAAACGTAAATATCAAAAAGACAAATGATTATTTTATAACGTCTCTATTTACTCACAAATTTTGTTCTTTAAGGCCCGATTGCACCAACATTACTTTGACTTTAAGCAAAGTTTAAAACTCTCTCCGTCTCTGTCTCTTTTTCGTTTTAAAACGAGACAGAGAGAGTTTTAAGTCTTGCTTAAAGTCAAAATAACATTGGTACAACCGGATCTAAGTCTTGTGTCAAATTAATGAGCAAAAGTGCGTATTCTTGTATAGATTTCCTTGCGAGTTAAATCTCCATCCCCATTTAAGTGAAGTTGGCAATGATATGTGATACTAGTGGACTCTGGAACGGTTCCATCTTATCACTTCTCTTTTTCGGGGTAGTTTACCCCCGTTTTATACCATACATTGGCATTGCACGAACGTATCTTTTACCGACGACGAGTCGACCTCATTTCTGCGACCCCACGCGTTTCTTATCCTCGTATATCTGACTTTACCGACGGACACCGAAACACCCCTTCGTGAACGATACACCCTATGAACCCCCGCGAACCCGATTTACCAACCGGGGGCAACGACGAGTTGTCAATTTTCGCAACCCCACTGAAGATAGATTTCTCCACTTTTTCCAAAATATATTGAAACTTATACATTTTAAATTAATAAAAATTCATTTTCAAAGCCACATGTGATTTTCTAATTTTATCGGAACAAATAAAAAACGAGTTACACACTTTTAATATAAAGTTTCCCATCCCTTTGTTAATTAAAGTGAAAATAAGTAAATGGGGTAGCTTCGTTATCGATATCCAGAAAGGGTGAAATAATATTGATTATACCGTAGATGCGTCGGTGTCCGTCGGTATCCGTCGGTACCTCAAGAGAGACGGAAGGAGAAAGGGTGAAAGCGCGAAAGAGGCATGGAGGGAACCGTGCGGCTGGCCGATGAGGTCGTCGTTTTGTTATGACCCCGAGATTCGCCCTCGCGTAACCACGTGTATCCGTGATAGTGTATCGCGTGGCGACGTTAATTTCTTCCTCGTGTTAATTTCTCGGAAATAATCGCTGTTCCTCGACGTTATACGGACCGTTTGATCCGTCCTCCACGGTCGAGTGTCGAAGGTCGAGGTCGTCGAAGTCAATCCCGTGCGCGAGGAACTATGGCCCGCAGCAGGTGACATCGATGAAAGGTAACGAATGTAAGCCGCCACCGAGGAAAAATTGAAAAATCTTTTAATGAACTCTCTTAAATTATGAATTACGAAAATTTCTTGTTCATTTATTCAGCGTGAGCAGTAGATTCGCGATGTCGCGACGACCGACGCGAGAAGCATCTTCGCGCATATCAAGTAAAGATATTCTGCGGCGTCGAGTATTAGATCGACCGAAATTTTACCCAGTTAACTTTCGTCTTTCTATCAATGTAATTTAATTTTAATCTTGGTTCAACCAATTCTTCATGTTATTCGAATTCTAAGAATTAGAAAAAGATGAAGAATTAATTGAACCAAGATTAAAGTTAATCTACATTGGTAGAAACGATTATAAAATTGTAATTACTATACAGAAAGAATGATTTTGTTGAATTTTAAAAATTAAAAACTATTAAATATTTAAAATTCAGTTAGATATAAAAATAATTATATATAGATAAAATAATAATTTTGGATCATCAAAGTAATTATATAGCATGATGAGCAATACTTGTAGAAAATTTTAACATTTCAGCAACTAGTTCGAACATACATAATTATTTTGATGTCCAACTTTAATCCAAAGTTATTTTCAGATCTGTATTTAGTTAAAATATTAGATACTTCAGTAAGATCGTCCTTTCGGTGTATGAGATCTCGTGTGCATAAAATCATTTCTATTTTTACTCGAAACGCATGATATAAAAGGGATTGTCTTGTACAGCTGATTTCAAAGATGATATATTTTTTACACCAGTAATTGAATACCAATTAAATCCAATATAATCTCGTTCAGTTTTTAGAGTTTAATGGTGTAATTACGCAGAACTGATTTCTATGCTTATTTAATTGACAATAAAAACAAATTAATATAACATTTATTTTCCCGTCAGTCGCAACGTGGAAAATTGCGTTAATTGAAATTTCATTTAGAAATTGAGGACTTTGTTATATCAGATTTATTTTTCAATAGTACAGAATTTTTTTTAAAGATGATTTCCGGATTTTTTCTTAAGAATTTGTGATATTAATATTTGTGAATCTATTTAATTACAAAAATATTGTATTTTTGATCAGTACAAAAATTGGAGTAAAGATTTTTCGAAAAGTATTGACATATAATATTAAATATATAAGAGAGATAACTTTGGCTTTAATGTACTTTATCGTTTTATTCCTTCCTAAAGCTCATATTAAACCTTAATATTACCGTAATATTAGATTTAGAATTATGGAATAGAATTTACAAATTGGAGATTTCAATTAGACCGAAAGGGATTAAAATTAAAATTATGTATTTGATTAAATTCTGATCTCTTTTCAAATAAAATGTAAAATTAAAATAAATAAAAATAATTTTGCGATTTCAAGAATAAGTGAAATATAAATTAATTGTTTTGCGTAAATAATATATTTATAAGATATAATTCGCAATTGAAATATGTTCATCAACGGAGTTAACTGCGAAAATTTGCAAATTGAAGATTAGATCAAATATAAGTAAATTGCTTATATGAGTCTTATAAAGCGAAAGCTTGTATAGGCAATTTACTTATATTTCTAATCTTTAATTTACGATTCTGATCTCGTAATGTGTAGAAAGAGAAAGAGAGAGAGTGCAGTAATACTTATCTCAATACTCATTGCTTTAATATTCAAAAGCAATATCGAAGCAAAAGATGACAAGTTTTATATATGATCACGTCGGATTATACATATCGCAATGGGAACAACGAGCGGCGCTTAAACGCGACGTACCGGTTGCGACAGCGACTTAATGAGTCGCGTCTCGTGTAAAATTGGCTTACGTCCAGTGTATGAGTAATCCTCACTTCCCGCCGACATCCGTGCATTAAATAAAACAAGGATGCTGTCTTCGTTTCTCTCTTCTCGTAACTTGCGCGTCTTTCAGTATAAGACCTTATTTTGTAAGGCTAGTTTGTGAAAGAAAAGTTACGTCTTAATGCACGTAACATTTATCAATCGAAAATATGAAATTAATACTTTTACTTTTATTTCAATATATTTTGTTTTCTCTACATGAAAATTTCATTTCGTTTATTAATTATTTGCATTAAATGCGGCTTACATGTATAATAAACAAACGAATTTGTTTATTGAAAATTAATTCAGTTAATTATAATTAAGTCTGGGAAATTACAATAAGAGAATTTATAATTCGGCATGTAAATTTATTTATTATATTAAAATACATTAAAAAATGTCCATTGTTACTGTTATTTTATATAATGAAATCAATTATTATTTGATTTAAAAATATTCTTAGTTAAGTTGCGACAACTTTTCTCTCATAAAATATTTTTGCTGACTATTATTATTAGAATTTAATCCATGTGTTATACATATTTCATGGCAAATTATACACACAGCGAATCGATATTTGCCAAATAAGTACATTGATCGACACATTTATATCGCGAATGTATATTATACTTATACTTTTTATAATATTACCTCTAACATGCAATTACTTTATACGTTGGTCAATATATCTGTTTGCCAAATATCGATTCGCTGTATCATATAATTTCCCATGAAATATGTACGCATGCATTAAGACCACTTTCTAGAATAATCGGCAAAAATTTATACGTTACTACATTATATTTCGTAGAATTTGTATGCATGTGACTTTCGAATGTCTGAATAGTTTCGTTGTAATATACGAATCATGGGGAATCTTCGCTGACACAGTTGTGTGCCAGTGGTTTTATTGCGCCCGTCGCCGTCGCGTTGGGGTGCACCAAGAAAAAAAAACGGTATGCATTTTTCGTTATCGTTTTTTACTACTTTTTATCTCGTAAACAATTATTCGGAGCAACGAAATGAGCATTTATACCAGCTGGGAATGGATTAACGAATGGTTAACGATTTTTGTTTAAGAATTAGTTATTCTGGATCGTGAAAAATTAAATGAGTCACTCTGTACGAGACGTACTGGAACCGAACCTTACATTAAGAGTACGAATCGTTTCCATCATCCTCCGAATCTTCTTCTTTTAAGCCTGCGCTTAAATAGAGTAGATCGATAAATTTCAAGACAGTCTTGAGAAATGGAACGGAACATTCATGAGTCAGTTCCAAGTTGCACCTTCTGCAATTTAGCTTTACCGAAGCAGCCATTGTGCAGTGTCTTAAATTTTAAGTGAACCGTGGAAATTACATCAAATATAATATATACCTTCTGCAAATTAGGGAATTGTATATAACGCGCCCGATATTTTTTCGTTAAAAAATTTATTCGCTGTTAATCATTTGGAAGGCTGACCTCTCTTCTCATTTTTGCATCATCAGTAACCCTTTTTTCCGATCGATTCGTCATTGCATCACCAGACAGTGTCGCCGGGGAGTGAGTTCGCTTCGCCTCAGGGTCATCGGCTTGACCCCACGGTGGTTGCGCGTCCCGAGTACATGCATACGAGTAGCATCCACAAATTCACTCATTGGCTATGAGCCAACATGACTCACCGCCTCTAGAAAACCCTCGGTAGTTTATGTACTTGGGTTGTACGTTCGTTCGCTTCGCTTCAGTTCGGCGCGATCTTCACCGGCGAGTAGACGAGGAACTGAGTTCTCCTCACGTGCGTTCATCCGCGAGATTTGCCGTTTCGTTCTTATTGTCCCTGGTCTTATTTGATAAATTGCTTCGTTCTACCGCGGACCGAATCCTCGGAGGAGTGCTCGTCGTGGATGAATATTTTCCGGACGAATTGCCGAAGTAAGAGAAGGAATTGGAGCCACCCTTAAAAAATCTTCTACCATGGAACCGTTTAATAGAGGTAAGCGATTTTACGGCAGCCGATTTTGTGAGAGCTTCCAAATGAAATTTACACGACACTCGAATATTAAAGTTCTCCATTGCGTTATACTTTATTTCATTACCTGCTTTAATATATTATTTAAAATATAAGTGAAATTAATTTTTGATTTTATTATCTAATAATTGTATTTCACAAAAAGGCTAGTAATTAAGTTATGTAATATCCTTTGGATATAATCTACTTTTTGTATGGCTTAAACGATGCAAGTGATATAATATGTACATAACGAGAGTTTTCATACATAGAATTAGATCCATATTGTAACAATAAAAATATCAATTAAAATATATCAATTCATTGTAAATTAAGTAAATGAAAAAATTTGATTAAAAAATTGGAATATATTATGACAGACAATAATTCTGTTCACTTGTTGACATAAAGTCGTTTCGAAACGTTGATAGAATCTAGCGTGTACTGCACTTTAGAAACATCGCGGAAAACGCAATTGAAATCGTCTCCTGAAAGCAGAAGTCGATTCCCTTTTATCGGTGAAGGTATCAGGACTGCGATGCGACCGCAAAGACGGCAACGATAGAAAACGTGCGCGAGAAAACGCGTCACGAGAGAGTCAGAGAAAGATAGAGACTGGGAAAGATCGATATAAGTAAGGGTAGCACATGCACGACGCCGACGACGCCGCCGACGACGACGACGACGACGACGACGAGGAGGCACACGCCGGGAAAACATTCGGCGAGAGAGAGGATTTCCCTGTATTGATTTTCTCTCGAGTCCCCTTTCGACTAGTCGCCGTGAATGTTCGCTGCTCTCGCCCGTTCGCGGCGTTTACCGTACATATCCGTCGAGCCGTTAAGGCGATATCGATTTTTGACAGCTGCTCTGTCGCGTTATACACCGTGTGTAAACGCCACACGCACGGATACGTACGGTACGTACGATGCGGGAAGGGTTCTCTCCCCGTCATACACAAAGCTCTCTCTTTCCGTCTCTTTCTCTTTCTCTCTTTCTCTTTCCCCCAGCGCGACGCAATGTAACGTAACGCACGCAACGCAACGCACGCAACGCAATATGACGTACGCACTCGCGCGAATTCGATCCGCACGTTCGCTGTTATTGCCCGATCGTGAGCATGGAGAGCTTTCGCAATCCATACTCGTATGATTATTCGTCGTTAATCCCCCGCGCAGATTTTTTTCTTTTTTCTTAATGTTCTCGGTACGCGATTATTTGCAATTATTGCGGAGGGAATTCGAATTCCCTCAATAGCCGGTTTGGATAGGCGATTACTCAACAACGAGCATATTCTGATGATTGTACAGTTTCTTTCGATTCGCGATTATCTATTGTCTAATTATTAGGTGTTGGAATTAATTCGTAGCGTTTTACAATGAAAGAATGTTATTTATTTCACATGAGCATTAAAAAATACATTAATGAAAGTACTTCCCATCACTTGTAAAACGCTACGAATTAATTCCAACACCTAATACTTTCTGCAATTATTGCATCTGTTGCGATTATTTGCAAACGATCAGATTTTCTCGGTAGTTCATCTATATTTTTGGTTTACGATTATTCGTTATCAAGTAGCCTTTTGGATATCTTCCGGTTAAATGAGATTTTTCGATAAGCATTTTATTATCTTGATTCGCGATTATTTGCGATCAAGCAAAAGTTCTCCATCAATTATTTGATTCGTTGAACTCTGTTAGCGAAGGGGATACTCATTCTGCTATCAAAAATACTTATGGAAATTATTTAATAATATAAGACATATAAGAAAATGTGTATGTAGATTTCGAATAAATCTTTTTACTTAAATTATTATATGTATCATTTGAAAAAATGTAATGAAGCAATGTAATATTTGGAGTTTAGAAATTTTATTTATATTTTAATTTATTTATATAAAATGTAATTTATTTACATAAAATGCATTTCTGTATATTTTCGTAACAGTTGCCATCTAACGATCAAGTAAACTGTCTAGCGATTGAAATTGAAAATGAAAAGGTCTTTAAAAGTTTCAAAAAAGTAAATTGATACTAATTTTTTTATATCCTTAATTTAATTTTAAACGAATTTCTTGTATAACTTGAAGCTTAATAAAATCTTCGAATATTTAAACTTACAACTTCTGACGGTCTCTTTGAACATTTCTTCCTTGAATTAAAGAAAAAGCGAAAGAATTTTAATTTAAAAACTTCAAATTAATCACACTGACTTCGTAGAGATAACAGGTGATTCATCGATAATCAAATTTCTAGATAGTATTAGTAATATTGCGTATTAAAAATCGAATGTCAGGGTCTTCAGGAAGTGCAACATTAACATGAACATTGAGCGCTTGCTCACTCTCTGTCCATTTCAGGTACGGATGATGGAGGAGCGGCTAGTGAAGGGTGAATACTGCCTCAGCACATCCGGCGTTGGTTCTCCGCCGCATTCGCTGCCGTCGACCTCCGGTACGCAGAATGACAAGATCGAGGAGGTTCATTGTGCCTGTATTTCGAAGCTAGAAACTCAAGTCGAGGAACAGGTAAGTCATAATCCTTACTGTGTCAAAAAACTACTGTAGCGAAAAGTGCTATTTTGAGTAATACTTTGGCATACAAATTAAATTTATCGTACCGAAATAAAAATTTCAAAAAATTTTTTTTGGCAACTATAATATAATTATTGGACAATATCGATAGTATTGGAAAATGACTTTTTAATATAAATCAATAAAAAAAAATTTAATAATTGTATATTAATTGAATAAATAACTATTTATAATAATTTTTCTGATCATATCTATTTAAAAAATATTATGCATATGTCATTTTTTGTTCGATTATATGATTTGTGTTATCTGCAATTTTTTTAAAGATATGAAATTATCTATAATCTGTCGAGATATTTGATGATTACCAAATGGGTGGGATCGGAATTCCTTTTATCAATTAGTCAACGTCGTTTATTCACAGAGGCAACTACGGCTACATGACGCCAGGCAAGTGGAAGCGAAAGCAGCGAGGATAAAAGAATGGGTCACTAATAAATTGAGGGAACTGGAACAACAAAATCAACATCTGAGGGAACAGAACAACAAGTGTAACCAGCAACTCGAATTATTACGCAATCATATAACTAATATCGGACTCAAACCTCCCGTAAGTTTTTTTTAGATAGTCCATAGAATTTTTTTCTCTCTTTTTAACATTAGCTTTTAGTCATTAAATAAAAGGGCTATAATAAATAATACTTATTTGAAGTTATTTTTAAATTATTTAAAATGTTACTTATTAGGCGAAAAAGCTTATATTGTGATTAATGAAATATTTGGATAGATCTAATAGATTCTTAATAAACAATAAATTCTGTAAATGCAGGCACCGACGAGAGCGTCATTGTCTTTGGAAGTGGATCCCACCTTGCGTATCGATCGTAGACGATCGGAGAGCCTAGAGGGTACCCCGCAGACGGCACCGGAGTGCGTGCAAAATATTGTGGCGGAACCGCAAACGAGCACAAAGCATCGGAGACATTTGTCCGCTTGTGGCAACATTCAACGAGGAATCGCGACCGCCAACATGGACTCGAGGTAAAACTTTCGTCCGCGCGCGCGCGCGTGCGCGCGATAAACGCTTCAATTCTTTCGAGACTAACACTTCTCTCGGCTACTTTTACGAGCACACTAAATGCATTCGTCTTTCGTATCTCGATTCTCCTTGGGAGGCCTCACGACGTGATAGCGGCGCCCGAGTTTTCGAAATGTGGTACCCTGTAACGTCCTGGGACTTCCTGAGGGGATCCGTCGTCCCACCCTCTTATTATACTTTTATTGTTATATGTATTTTATTTATCATATTTACATCATAATATAATGTGTTATAAAATTTTGAATTAAATTTACGTGCTTTTAATTTAGCGAACAGTAGAATACTGTTTTAATTTAAAAAAACAAACAATGTAGAACGAACAATGTAGAATTTAAAGACGCGACCACGCACATACATACACTCTGCATAAAAAATAATTGAATTGATTCTGTGCTTTATACTTGCCGCTTCTCTTTATCCTCTCTTAGTCTACTGTCGGAGGAGTTAGCCGCAGCGGTGGAGAATCTGGTGATGTTGCCAAATATGTCTGGTGTTTCGGAGGTCAGCCGAGACAGTGGAAGCTCGGAAGCGGTGCACGACTATGCTGAGATATATACACCCAGTCGGGAGGGCATGAATTGGCTGCAAGGAGGCGGACAAGGTCCTCGTCCGCCGACTCCGCCGTTACATAGGTTTCCTAGCTGGGAGGCGAAAATATATCAAGTAATGATAATTTTAGTTGTACGAACATGTGTACAAATAAAGTAAAGATTATCAAAATTAGTTTATCAATACATAAACTAATTTGAAATAATAATATCTAATTTTTTTGTATATCCTATATTTTCTGAAATAACTAAACCTAACTATTAACTATTTGTAGGTAGCGGATGGTGGCCTTGGCATCGGTCCACCAACAAACGAGGAATCCGCACCCTCCACAATGACCACCACGACGAGTTCGTCGAAGCATTCTCAGGCCACAGGACACAACTTGACAGCGCACAACTCTCAAGGCTACTGCGATATTTCTGTTCCAGTATACGCTACTGTCAAAGGTAGATTACAAAAATACTAATTAACTTTTAGAAGTTAGTATGAAAGAGGAAAATATGCAACAATAATATAACAAAAATCACATTTATTAATAAATAATAATTAGCTGTATAAATTTGTTGTAAAGTTGTATAAATTTGTGATATTTGTTTTTATCGATCATATATTTTTTAGGACGTGCCAGTCAAATCAGATCTATGCCTTTCGGCGATAGCTCTGATGATAGTTCGGACGGCGAGGAACATCCGAATCAAACCGAAACTAATACTAGAATTACCAATAGCTCGTCCGATAATACAGATTCCTCCCTCGGTAGCGGAAGCAGTCCCTCAAAAAGTATTAAAACAACCAGTAGCCTCAGTCCCGCAAAAAGAAGCTCTAGCGGATCTCCCAGTAAAAGCGTAAAACGTGGTGAGTTTAATTAATATAATTTTTTTTATCCATTTTATGATAAAATTTTAAATAACATTTTTGTTATGATTTTTTTACTATTTTCGAAACATTCCATCTATTTTCCAAACAAGGAAAAATCAGTATATTATAATAAATTATAATACAACAATATTTTTATTGAGAAATGTAAAACGTAAATTAAATTTACTATAATTATTTTGATAATACAGTATGTTGCATATCGAAAAAGAAAAGAGATGCAAAAGAAAATAATTTGTTGACTAAGAGAAAGCAAATGCTTTGAAATTCACGTACAAAATATCCGGCATCCAACAACTTTAAGCTCATTTGGTTTACAGATACTTCTCTCGAGTCAGGTTTATCCGAGGATTATGCAATACCTCCCGATGCACTAAGTTCGACATCTCTAGAATCTAGTATGCCTAGCCTTCTAATGCGCGTTTCTGGCGAAAGTCCAAAGAGACAGGAATCGCTGGAAAAAACAGGTCATCTGGCGAAATTAGGCGGCAAGTTAAAAACTTGGCGGAAGCGATGGTTCGTACTGAAAAACGGTGTATTAACATATTGGAAGAGTCAAAATGATGTCAATCGGAAACCTCAAGGCCAAATAATCTTGGACGAAGTGTGCAGGTATGCGATAAAAGTAGCTTAAGATGAATTTATAAGTCACTGAGAAAAAAAATGAACAGACTGTAATAAGATTAGATAAAAGATTATCAGTATTTAATGATATTTTTAATATCTCAGAAAAGCCTTATATTTGAATACTTTTTTTTTGAAAAATTTGTAGTTTATTTATATTTGTATTTTTATGTTTCTTCCAGGATCAATAGAGCTGAAGGAGCTGCCACTTTTGAAATAGCTACTGGTAAGAAGACCTATTACTTGACTGCAGACTGCATCGCCACAATGGAAGACTGGATAAGAGTACTGCAGAACGTGCAGAGGCGAAACGCAACAAAACTCTTGCTCAGCAGGGAAGATAATAAACCAACGATACAGGGTTGGTTGACGAAGGTGAAAAACGGCCACGCGAAAAAGTGTTGGTGTGTGCTCATCGGCAAGATGTTTCTTTACTTTAAGTGCCCCAGTGATACAGTTAGTATACAAATAAACATGAATACAAAATCATTATTAGATGTATTCTCGAAACACAACGATTGTATAACTAGCAAATTTTATTATCATCATGATTAAAAATTTAAACAAGATTTAAAATAATTGATTAACTGCAATTTTAAATTTAGTATCTTATAAAATTTAGGAGAATATTTCCTGATCACTTTTTATTTAGCCAGTTATTTATAGCTCAATAACAATTGTGTTTCTTGAACATTTAATACGTATTTCATACTCTCATAAAAAAAAATGTATTTAATCAATTTTTTGAACCATCAGAATCCTATTGGCCAAATCAATATGAGAGATGCTCGAGTGGAGGAGGTGGAACATGTTTCGGATAGCGATAGCGAGGAGAGAGACGCCGAGTGCCCACACGAAAGAACAATTGGCATCTTTCCGACCCATCAGGGTCCAACCTATTTATTGATGCCACATAAACAGGACAAGGACAATTGGCTTTACCACTTGACAGTGGTGTCAGGTGGTGGTCCGAGCGCGGGCACACAATACGAACAACTGGTACAAAGACTAATGGAAACTGATGGTGATCCTAGCTGTGTGCTATGGCGGCATCCCCTACTGCTACACACGAAGGAGAGCATCACGAGCCCGCTGACAAGCTTGACCTCCGAAACTTTGCAAACCGAAGCCATAAAACTCTTTAAGGTTGACACGTTCCCTCGATTTTTTCGCGATTGCTTTACTTGCGATTTATGCCAAATTTTTAACACTTTTCTCTCAATAGAGAGAAGTAACAGTTCTAATTATTTTCAATATTCTAATATTAAGTCTTACAGTTCTAGAACTATGGTTCCTATATATTTTTTCTTTTCTGTCCTTTTATTCTCAAAATGTAGATATATGTATTCATCTCAATCTCATTTTAAATATGGTACTTTCAAATTTACAAATTTCAATTCAATTTTGGTATATAATCTTTTTATATTAATTATTAACATTTATAATGAAATCTAGTTCTTCTTAGCTACATTTTCTACACTTTTCAATTTTTTTCTTTTTCAATTTATATGTCGAAACATATTTTGATTTTATGTTAAATGCAGAAAAGTGTATAATAAGGCGTGGCTAAAAGGAACAAGCTTAATGTATCGTTAAAATAATTAACACACATCTAATCGTACAGGCCTGTCAGCTGTTTATGTCGGTGGCAGTAGAACAAGCAGGTATCGACTACCATGTGGTTCTAGCGCAAAACGCATTACAACAATGCCTAGACCAGCCTGAACTTCAATCTGAATTTATATGCGCACTGGTAAAGCAGACAAGTCGTCACACCCAACACCGTTTGGGCGTACAGGTAAAAAAGGCCGCCAGACTTGTGTCACTGGGTACTGCGCGCGTTGTAAGTCCTGCTTATTGTTTAACAAAAACAACATTCAACCATCCTGTACCATTTTTGAAGTTAAAACGATACTCATCGATCGTCTGTTTTTTTTTATCTCTGATAGATCTCATCTGTATCTCATAAACATCATTGATCATATTTTTAATATCGATCATTCGAACGATATTTCTTTCAATGCGGAAAATGGTACACTGGGTATGCTTAGTCAAGTATTACAAATAATCCTTCCAGGCGTGGATACTAAGTAGTGGTTTAGAATGGTTCAACTAAAAATATAGCACTCGATAATATTTAGCGACAAAAATACGCCGCTTATTGCCACAATACTTGACCAAGTTCAATGACTATTTTAGTTTTAACAATCATTCACACATTTAATTCTAATTTGCCGCTTTAAGTGTGCTGTCTTTTAGATTCTCACTCTATTTCAATCGCATGCGTTTATAATTCTGTTAGGCATCACGATGGTGTTAAGTTTCATTTACTTTTTATCATATATTTTAATATTTATACATCATACCCTAATCATATTACCCTAACGCCCATCATGTGAGCTGAACATATTTCGACGATTATCATAATATTGTAATCTATGTGGATCTATGTGTAATCTATGGATAGCGTCTGTCAAATCTGATGTACATTATATAAAATGTAATATTTTTTTCTGAATAAGAAATCTGTCAAAATACGTTCCGCGTCACACACACACACTTGCAGAATGGTATGTTGGTGTACATGAGGACACACACAGAAAGAAACATTTTTAAATTCTTTTTTTCTAATTTTTCACATGAGTTCCTTTTTTATAATAGCTGCAATATATAGCTACTTGGATATTCTCTGTTTGAATGCTGCTTAGAGATTTAGATTCTTATCGCCGGAATATATATTAGATTATTTTAACAAATAAAAGTTATAATCCTTTATACACACCTTTTCTGAACAATACAAATTTTCAAAAAGTCACAAGATGTAAAAATATCTAAAAAGTGGTAAATAAATCACTTTAAAGATATATTTTAGACATCTCGTAGATAACTTTGAATTCTTTGTTTTATTTCCTTTTCCTCTTTTTTTCCTTTCTGCTATCCTTTCCTCTCTCTTTTTCTATCCTTCTTCCCCCCAGCTTTATTGAAAAAAAGACATAATATGTACAAGGATAGTGCTATCTCGAATTTTGCATCACAAGACAAACTTGTAAAGAAAAAGAGCCTCAGTCGTCTCATGTCAACGAATGTAAACGCAACGCTTTACAATTGGTACGGTAGATTCACGCGGCCTAAAAGCTTTTCTCATTGACACATTTTAATTTTCATGCAATTTTAAAGGTTTTTTCCGAGTACGCGTTTTTATTCGATTAACACGTAGAGTTGTGCGGTGAAATTTCGATTTCTCGTGCTTATCTACTAACTAACTACTACCGAAACACAATTAATTCAATTAATTCTACTTTTTAGTAGTGCAAATTTTTAAAAGGAAAAGAAATCTATGTCGTGTGAAAAATCAGTTAATTAAAGGCAATCAATTGAGACTTGTTCTCCAAATTTGCAAATTTCTAATTTTCGAGATTATGGAACGATTTTCAAGATTATTTTTTCTTTTGCTTTCTATGTTTTTATTTATTTTACTCTTATTAATTCGTCAACGTTATTTTATTTTAAAAAGTGATTCTTTTTAAAAAAAACCACTCAGTGAAAAATTGAAGCAATTGTCTTTCCACATTGTGTGCACTTAAATTGTATTGTTACATCTTATTCCACAAAAATAAATAGAAAAAAATCGATCTTAGGAATTTGAGAAAATTACATATATATATACATACAAATTTTTTCAAATTCTTAGAAAAATAAAATCACTTTTGCACTGAAGATCTTATTTAGAGAGATTATTTGTTTAATCACACTTGTGCGTAACACAAATAACGCACATATGATAAAAATAGAAAGAAATAGAACATATATAGAATGCAATAGAAAACTAAGAATCTTTAAATTAATTCTCACTTTCTCTCGAAGGGCAGAAATTTGATTTGGCAGAATTAATTCCCTATTCTTTTAACTCATTGTTTTTTGTAAAATGTACATATTCACGATCGAAATAGTATCTATGCATACATATGGAGAATGAATATCCATCTACAAAATAATAAATTAAAATAATAAATTAAAAATAAAAAGTTGAAGAGGTAAATGAAATGGCATAATACAAATATCAAGATGTTTCGTCACTCGTGTAAAATGTGTCGCGTTTACCCTTTGACGAAAAGTAGTATACTAGGATTGGCTGAGATATATGCCGGAACGTAGTAGTATGCCAGCATACCATTGCAGCAGCTCCTTCTCTGCGCCACGCAATCGCTCTTCACCTGCGATACGCAAAGTCCCGCGGCAAATGGCAGCGGTGAAAATGCGGACGCGCAATCAACGGCCTCGACTTCTCACAGTCCTCCGCTCACGCAGGGCCACTCGACCTCCACTATCTTGGACTGCAAAACTAATCCCGCGCAGTATGTGCTTATCCAGGGATGGCAGCTCTTGGCGCTTGCCGTTTCCCTCTTCCTGCCCAAAAATAATCGGCTACTATGGTACCTGAAACTGCATCTGCAGAGAAATGCCGACAGCAAGTGAGTGAGTCGATCAGAAAATGAATCGATCATTGTAGAAAGAAACGTGAAAAAAAGCTCTCAGATCATTGTTCGAGGAAATAGGAAGAAAAATCTCTCATAAAAAGAACTGTTTCTAATATTTGCATTCTGATATATTCTAAAAGGAAAAGATGGTAATATGGACTCCCATCTTTTTTGTAATTTTTTATCTTTTAATTATATTTAAGTCGATAATATTGCAAACAGTAATTTATTAATTTAAGTTTACTTTAAACACACTTGAAATAATTAAGACAATTCACAAAATAGGAAAAATTATGTAAATGGAATACTATCATGACTATCAAAGTGTAATGATAAAAAGTGGGCAATCTGTATATTTTTATAGAATCTAAATTTTTTAGGTTTATTTACACTTCCCATGAAGTCCAAATTGAATTTATAGAAAAATTTGAATGCATTAAGATATCAGATTCAGAAGTTTCTTTAATTAAAAATAATATTTTTGCGTTGATCCTGTTCTACTATTTACTATCTACTATGAGCACTTCTCCGCAGATACCTTTAAGAACTTCTTAAAATCATCAATCGTTTTAAAATGATAACCACAAAAATTTTTAATGAAAAACAACTAATATGCAATATTTTTTATTAAAAATCCCGGGGTTTACTTGTTAGAAGTCATAAAAATATTAATAAAATTTACATTTAATTAGTGAAGATATAGTTTTTCAAATTTACCTATCTTCATAATAAAAAAAACAGCATCTTAAGAATTAATTTAGCATAAATAAAATACACTTGTTATTTACATCAATTTTATAATCACTTTAAACTTGACGTTAAAAATCAATCGAAAAAGTTTAATGTATGTACTTGTAATAGATAAACAATTATCAAAAAGCAGCACCAAAAAAGCGGCAATTGTTTCACAACTTCAATACTTATTTAAAAATAAATTAAAAACTGTTACAAAAAATGATGTTAATTATAACAGTAGGATAGCTCATTAGTAGCAGAACATTACCATCTTTTCTCCTATTATAACGTAAAAATAAATTTTTAACTCAATTCCGAAATTTTAACGAGAAAAATTTTAACGAGAAATTTTAACATAGTTCTTTTCAATAAAAATAAAAATATTAGATCTTTAAGAGATAAGACAGAATTTAGAAGACTCGTGAATCTTAACAATTATATTTCTTGCACAATTATTTATATTTATATTTCTTGTTTATTTTTTGTAGATATAACTTGGATGATAAATTTTTTATGCGTTATTCATTTCCGTAAATATAAAAGTTTTATTACGGATTTTGCTTAATCTAAAACCCTCAGAATTCGAAAAGTACTTTTCTATATGCTAAAACTGTTATGATAATATAATCTTTATCTTAGTGATAAAATGAATCTATCTTAATTGGTCAGTTAAAGTCAAAAAAACACGTTTTTTTCTACAATGACAGATCCAATTCTAATTTTTGTTACTATTGATTCATCACATTGCATTGTATTATACCAGAACGGAATGCGGTAAATATGCGGCTTATTGTGAAAGAGCCTTAGAGAGGACATTGCAAAACGGTAGTAGAGAAGTAAAACCGTCGAGGATGGAAGTACTTTCAATACTTATGAAAAATCCATACCATCATTCATTACCGCATGCCATACCAGTTCATTTTCTGAATGGCACCTATCAGGTTGTGAGTTTTGATGGCAGTACTACGATAGAGGAATTTCTGAATACTCTCAATCAAGAAATCGGCTGTAGGGACGTTCATCAATCCGGTTTCACGCTATTTAGTGATGATCCGATCGAAAAAGATCTGGAACATTTTATCGATCCAGAAGCGAAGGTTTGTAAAAATTGAAATCATCTTTTCACATCAAATTATTCATTCATTCGAGACTATTCGTATAAAAAAGATACCAAATCTTTATCAAATCAAATATATAAAATATATATTAATGGTTGGTAAAATTTACACTGTATTTCTAACGAAACCTCTAAAATTGACAATTTTAAATAAAATAAGAACTTATTATCCTACTTGATTTAAAACTTAATACAAACTATGCTTCAGCTGTGTGACATTATCTCAAAGTGGGAAACAGCGTTACGAGAGAAAGGTTCGGGAAAGTTCGAGAATACTAGAGTGATACAATTGACGTACAAATCTCGTTGTTACTGGCGGCAAGCTGCTAAAATGGAAACGGACAAAGAGAGGCTCTTATTGTGTTATCAAGTGAATCAACAAGTTGTGCAAGGAAAGTTTCCGCTAAATCGTGAACTTGCTTTTGAACTAGCATCGTTGATGGCACAGGTATAATTTATATTAATTAGGTTTTTCATGTGTTTTTTAAATATATTTAAATAATAATTGTAGGCATGTATTTTAATATTATTATAATTATAATTAATATTATAATTATATTTAATATTATTATATTTATTATTGTAAATTTATTATACTTATTGTTATTGTAAAATTAATTATTGTAAATAATTCAAGTAAAGTATAATTGAATAATTGAATAAATTCATTGTTCTTGATCATTTAATCAATTTCACAGATTGATTTTGGAGAATACAATAATGATAAAGCACGTGGAAGCGGCCCTGGAAGCAATCCACATCATCTCGTACTCCAAGCTCTGGATAAATTTTATCCATTACGCTATCGAGCTAACATTACCGCTGATCAATTAAGGTGAATGATCGCTAAATTCAATTTTAAAAAAATATCAAGAGAATATTTATTTTTACGTTAAATTATACATTTTTTACTGTTTTATAACAAATTATTTTTACTCCATCAGGGAATTGCAGGAGAAGCTACAGGAAAAGTGGATCGCTTTAAAAGGACGTAGTGTATTGGATTGTGTTCGTATATATCTTACATGCACCAGAAAGTGGCCTTTCTTTGGAGCTACCCTGTATCAAGCAAAGGTATAATGATGCTATTATTAAATATTTTATAAGGAACAAGATGATTAATAATAGATTAACTATATAATAATAGATTAAAATATATTTCATATATTATATACGTATGTGATTTGAGTTTATTTAAATAATTTTCTTTATAGTTGAAGCAAGGCGATCCTGTGACAGTTTGGATAGCGGTTTCTGAAGATAGTGTAACGTTGCTTGAATTACAAACAATGGCTGTCATGTGCCGGTATAATTATGCAAACATAGTAACATTCGGTGGCTGTTTGGATGATTTTATGCTCGTCGCTTGCCCGGACGAGGGTGCAGCTGAACAAAAATTGTTGTTCGCACTCTCTAAACCCAAAGTGCGTATAGTAGACTAACGTCTCATGTAAAGTTAGTAATTTAGAAAAATATTAATTTTATCCATCTTTTATAGATTTTGGAAATAACATTATTGATCGCTGATTATATGAACGCGCTGGGCCACGCATTACCGGGCACTCCACAAATGAATACTCTAACACGCAATGGATCACACCGGTCCATCAAATCCACTCTAAGACCTGCGACTGGTCGGTAAAAAAAGAGATTTTTGTTTTCTAAACATCTTATATCAAATTATAATTATATTATATGAATTGTTTCGAAGATTGATAAATAAGAGCACAAAATTAAACATTGATTCAGAATCATTCTTGATTAATTGTTTCTGGTATCATGAATGTTGATGATCGATCTCTTCTCAGAATTAATATCTTAATAGACAAGCAACAAATTAAAATTAAAATTTAATAGATTTTTAACTAATTTTTGTATAAATAATGATTATATATTGTTAGTCAGTAATTAACTCCAACTAATATTTTATAAAAACGATGTTTAATGAATTTTATTTTTTTTTTGCAGGTTCAAGCTGTCTTCCAACTCAACCTGATATATTGAAATCCACGCCAGATCACCAAAGACCTTAAAATGTCGTATCGCGTTAATTTTTTGGAAAGACAATGAGAATATATTTCTTGGATTCGCACCAAGATCTGATTGCGATAAATATTGTCGTTTGTATCATATAAAAGCAGCGTAACAGTGCAGTATTAGTATCGTACACTGCGATGTGCGGTGCGTTGTTTTTTTTTTCCCCTGAGAAGTCGCAACCTTCATGTTTACGTTTGTATGTGCATGTAAATTAATATCGACGCTTACAAGAATGTATCTGTGTAAATATTTAATAATAAGCGTAAGAGCTACGAACCACGAACGACCATACTGATGATTAAAGAGCGGCTGAAATCGAATCGAACACTAAAATCGATCTGTAACACTGCCTAATTTAGTATGTGCGATTACACATCGAATAGTTTCATCCAGCGGCTACGTAAGTAACAAGTTGAGACTTTTGCTACGCATTTATATATCAAATTAAAAACAGAAACGAAAAAGAATGCGTAAAATATTGCGTAATAGTGATGTATTTACATCGTATCGTGTATATATTAATCAAAGTTATTAAATGTTTAGGAGTATATCTCTCGAATGACACAGCGATGCGCTTCTTCCCAATTTTCGATGTCGAACGGAACATCTCCGAGCCTATATGAACGTTATCGCTATGTCATAATCTGGAACATAATTTTTTTAATTTTATTCAAAAGTTTTTGTTCTACTTTTATCAGACAAAAAATTTTACATAAATTTATTTTATCAAAATAAATTAATTTTTATAAATTTAATTGAAATTCAAATTGATTTAAGGTTTAAAAGAAATTAGGGATGTACGATTCATATATTGAAGATCGATCTGTGAATCGATCTCAGATTAATAGATCAGTTCACCATAGAGATCGCATTAAAAAGATTGATCCAGAAACATTTATACAGTAAAATCGAAATTGACAAAAAATAATGTTTTTTTTTAGAACAAAACATGATTTTCAACCTTGAATAAAATGTTTTATTTAACAGGGACTTTATAACTACTATTGTTATAAAAATCATAGCACAGAGAAAATCAACGTATTGAATTTGCTTCTGCTTAATTAAAGTCTTAGGGTTTCTACTATGATTGGCTACAATTCGTTCACTGTTTACGTTTTATTGCAAATAATCATCAATTGTAATTAGGCATTTGGGTAGTTTTTTCGAATGTACTCCTATTGAGAAAAATTGAAGATCGATTCACTCTTAAAACACGATTCACAACAAAATTGCAAAAGAGGAGATTAATTAAAAAACCCTATCTTTTTAAAATGAATCTTCTCAAAGATCGAATTAAGATCGAACATCCCTAATAGAGATTCGAATCTCGTGTGAGAATTAAAATTTAATTGAAATTTTGTATATTTTATAATTTGAATTTATTCGAAATTAAATTCGATTTTGTGATATTCTAGCAAAGAAGGAAAGCATAATTCAATATAGAAAAAAAAGATTTTATTTTAACAATTATATATTATATAGGATAATAAATAGACCTGAAAACGAAACAGTCTCATTGACAAAAAAGAGAGAGACTGACTACTTTTCTCTCTTCTCATTTTCGAATATCATTCGCTTTTTTTATGTGAGGTTACTCATGAAATCGATCAACAAAGAAAAAATCCGATATACTCGTATTAACTTGATAACAACTAGTCTCATGTCTGATATTTATTTAAGGTGTTAGCAATTATATGGTTTCTTTTTACAGGTACATGACCAAATAGATGTAATTGGGAACGTAATTTACTATTTAATATAACTAACGTTACGTTCCTGCGCGTAGTACGTGTGCAACATTGTGTATTAAAACATATGTAACGATTATAACGTTAGTGTGTGCATGTGTGTGTATATATTATATATATATACATATATATATGTACATACACCCGCATACATACACACGGAAGAGAGAGAGAGAGAGAGAGAGAAGTTTTGTACTCGCGTTTGACGTGTCCTACGTAACTAGTAAACGTCTTCCTTCTAGCGGTTACAAATTGTGAGCTGAAAGTAGGGCTTTCGTGCAATACGTGCAAAACTTCGATGGTTTTGTAATTTTCGAAATTACACCACTATGCGTCTATCTCAAGTGGAATAGTGGGTCTCGATTTTCGGAGGATCTCTACAAGGTCTCTGGAAGACGTCTTGAAAATCCCTCAGATCTTCGCGATCTCCTTTAAATATCTAGATGGACTAAGGTGCGCGTATACTCGGCTTCATTTAGCACATTGTGAATGTTTGTATGAATAATTCGAACCTCAAACTATTGAGAGCAGTACAAAGATATGCAAGAATGTGACATTTTGTCCTTAATTTTTTATATAATATATCAAATGCTATTGTGCGTGGGTGATTAGCACCTGTGTATCATGACATAGTTGAAGGAATCGTACGCGTATTACATTCATTTATTCGTGTAAATATCACCATTAGAACGGACTTGCGTTTCTAAAAAATTAGTAGAATCAAAATAGGCAGAGAGAGCTAGCAATTTATACAATCGAGCTCTATGTGAATCGGATTCTACGGAGCCTATCTCACATCTTACATTTATATTTATTATTTATTCATATGGAAAAGGTATGAGCGAGACAAGTGGAAAACGTGTACTATTGTACAGAAAAACAAATAAACTGCACATTAATACAATTTTACAGACGTCGATAGCGACTGTCAAACTATTCATTTAAGAGATAGAATAAAGAAGACATCTATAAAAAGACATCCACAAGTTTTATGACATCAAGAGATTATTATAAACAAGAACAATAAATTTTTAACATCTATTTCTTATATATTTGTTAATTTTATAATTTGTACAAATAATTTGTATATAATTTACTTTTCAGTTTTTATGACAATACAAGAAATTCAAACATTTCAATCCACCTCTTCTGGTCTCACAGGATGTGTTAATGGAATCATAGATTTCTTTTTTACATCTTTTGATAAGGCTTTTCTCATATCTACAAATAAGATGATATCTGTTATATCTCACACATATATAAATTTATTTTAGATTTTCTAGATAACTCTGTACCATATGCATCTTCGTCTGGGTCTCCATTGTAATATTCTAATACTGTCCTATACACAATGTATCCTAATTGTTGATACATTGTAATAGCCACCTTGTTGCTTACTCTAACAAAGAGATCCACGAAATACGCCTGTTTCCTAATTTACAAAAGGTATCAATAAAATCACAATTAATTAGGTACAATAAATTATAGTTTACTTTTCTGATACGTCCTCAAGATATTTCATCAACATTGCAGCAAGACCCAATCTTCTGTAATCAGGAGAAACTGTGAGGGCTGTTACATGACCATGCCAATTTTCTCCATGACCTTCAGCCTTCCCCATGACTTTGATGATTTCAAATAATAATGTTAAATAATGAAAACTTGCTTTTCACTTGCTGTATTCACAATATATTGAAAACAAATAAACTTACTGTAACCCATAATTTCACCGCTTGGAGATTCTGCCACTTGAATATACTCTGGCCAATGTGAAAGATAATGCATATAAAACGAAAGTCCGTACTAAATAGAAATGCAAAAGATCAAGGAATATATACATTGAAAAGTTTTAATATATCAATAAAATGTAATTCACATAAGAACTTTTCAGTTTCCCATTAGAGACTTCTTGGAAAACGTTATTATAAATAAAATAAATTATTATAATTAAAATAATTTTAAATAAAATTATTCATAAATAAAAAAATTTTGAAATAATCTTCCTCTGAGATTTATCATCTTATTTTAAGAATTCAAATGTTTACATGATTAATATAACTTTATAGATTTATGATAAAATACATGCTTATTAATTTTATATTAAGTAAAATAAAGGATACTGTTTCTGTGAGTGGATCCAAATTCCTGAAAATGACATATATAATCATAACAATTGACAACAATGAAAAATTGTTTAACTGAATATTAGGTTAGAAGAAAAGAACTTGTCAAAATTACTTACACGTTATTAAATTTGAACAAATCATTGCATGTGAAAGGTCTAAGTGTCGTCATTTTTAAAAGTTATTAAAGAAATAATTTACTTTATTCACTTGTAATGATAAAATTTAATTCAAAACAGATCAGTAAAGACACTTAGAACAATCTCTACTATCCCATACTCATGCTAGGATTGCTAGGAATGCTAGGCAATGCTACGGTTTGTACAGAAAAACATGATGTAAAAAGATGTAGAGTTCTTCCAATAAGAACAAGGACACTTGTCTCGCGCGCATGCGCGTCCGCTATTAATGGAGAATATTAAATAGAGGATATAGTCAATACAATATTACAAATGCTTTAAAGCAATTATTGATTAGTTAATTTGTAATTCTTTTTTCTAATTGGTCAACCAAAGCATTTGTAGTGAGATTTTGACCGCAGCCAGAATGAGAAAATAACAACTTTTATTCTGTTTTATCATCACTTTCGTTCCCTGAATATGGTGGAACCAATAAAAAATCATCACTCGGTGTCCTAAGAAGCTCTGCACAATAAAAGGAATAGAGAACAGAGAATATTAGCGTTTTCGGCCCGATCGGGTTTACACTAACTTGGATTAAAAAATGTTACGCTATTGATTGACATTACACGCTCTAATAGGAGAGCATGAAACATCATTACTTCAACCCAGGTTAGTGCAAACTTGGTCAGACCGAAAACGCTTTAAGAATTTCAACCTCTCAGAAATCATGTATTGTGGAATACACAGTTTCTAATAGGTTGAAATTCTTATTCTCAGTTCTCTGTTCCTCTTATTGTGCGGAGCCCCTAATAACTCTATCTAAAGGCCATTCTACATTGGTCGTATCATAGACGTCGAAAGTCACAAGCTGTTGTTCAGTCAATCCGATGCTTCAATTTTAAAGTCTGATGCTTACGACGCTTCCGACGCTACGATATGATCAATGTAGAATGGCTTTTAAAGAGTCCTCTACATAAAAGTTGTAGACGTAGTGGAGTCTTAAGTCCTAGGAAACTGACCAATTCTAAGTATTTTCGAGTATTCTCCTTATATTTGATTGTGATTGGTTGGTTTCCTACGACTTAAGACTCCACGACTATCTACGACTTCTATGTAGAGGACCTTTAACTCTTACCAGAGTAAACTTTAAATAGGAGTGACAGTTCTGACAAGATTATTTACATCTCAATTGAACTGCAGTAAAAAAGTGTAATGGATTTAAAATTGCGTATATTTAAATAATAGCTTTTTTTTACAAATAATCGATTGCGCCCATTACTATTCAATTAAAAACAGTTACAATTATCTTAAAAACATTAGAAGAATTATTGTAAGAATGTATTATATATAGCAGAACATGAATTTTGAAATACGTTTTTTAGGGAAGTTTCAAAATATCGTCAAAATTATTAAAACAGATTATAAGAGATAGCAAGAATCAGAATATTGACATATTTCTTATGAGTCTCGAAAATTTGTCAAAATTGTTAGAATATATTCTGATAAGAAATTTTTAAAATAAAACTTCCGTAAATTAAAATTTTTGTTCATATATTTGTAATATATGAACCAGTTTTTCGATATTGGATATTGGTACAATTTTATCAGGCCTCTACATACACAGGATAGGAATAAGTAATAAATACTTGTTTATCTAACAAAAGATTTTTAATGTTTTAATTTCAAATATCGAGTATAATAATTACAATACATGAATGAAAATGCTTAGCTTCTTATTTTTATGTTATTTACATATATCATTATGTGAGAAATTGGACTGAATTAGACATGTGTACTATATATATTTCAGAACATCGAAAAACTGTGGACAACAAAATTTCATAGGAAAAAAAACTTAATTACGTTAAAAAAGCTTACATTGATTTTAGTTTATCTCTATTTTTTATCTTAGAATATTGCTACTTCTCTTTCCGTTGGGATGTCAGACTGTCGTGCATGTTCGTTACTACAGTTTCTATTAATCCTGGTATAACTGCGCCATTAATATCAATGAAATTCGCAACGGATTTCGTAACACTTGTCTCATTAAAGATTCCCATTGACGTACTTTTAACTGACAACACCAAATTGTATTTGTCGTCATATTTTTTTAAATAGGAACTTGCTTCCCAAATCATGTCAGGATTGAAACCTGCTGGATCTCTGAAAGTAGAAGAAATTATGAGATCATAATTCTACAAATCCGAATTTCTATTCAGTATGGAATGTAATTTAATTTCTGCTTTAATATTAAAAAATAAGTTTAAATGAGTGAGATATAAAATGTAAAGAGAAGACAAATGATTTAAATAAAAGTATTATAATAATAAAAATAGAAAGGAGTTCCATAAATTATACACTGTAAACATGTATATAAATTCACCTTTGAATTGCAACTATAAATATGCCTTTCTCTTTGTACGTTGTATACAATGTCAAGAGTCCCATTAAAAGAAAATAGAAGGAGACACAAGCTATTAAAACAGGCTTAGAAGCAGGGAATGGGTATAAGTAATCACATAATAGTGCTATGATAGCTATAGTAACAGTAATTCCACAGAGGAACAGTCTTCCATCAAGAAGAGAAAAATTTTCTATGTAATTATATTTCTTGGTGAGTACTTCCTTGACTGTATCGTCTAAAGCATTTTTCACGGCTGAGCCATCCCACTTATTAATTTGTATGATCTGCAGAATAAACGCCTTTTATTTTGTTTTGATATAATAAGAAAATTTTATTTTATATAAAGACAAATTACAAATTAAAGTTGTAAAAAAGTTACTTATAAAGTTAATTATATTATAATAAAAATTATAGACAAATTTTTGATTAAAATATACATCTTGCTCCAATTAAAAAATTACAAATTTCATTTGAATTACAAAAATTTGCGAATTGTGAATGCATTTGAAGTACATTAGAAACAATTGTACAACTAAGGAGAGATCCGTTAAAATATAATCTCAATTATCCGGAGTATATTCAACCATACGTGGCAACATAAACGACCTTAATGTCGGCAAAGTGAATAACGGCGCGATTCGGCTCAATTTATTTTCATCGAAATACACGCGTAATTTTACATTCGTAAAATGACATTTCAGATGATAATGATTTCGTTTATGAGTAAGAAACATACGGAATTCTCCGCTGCACCCATCACGACTATAACCTCTTAACAAAATACACGTCGCGTCTTTTCAGATACACGTCGCACGATTTGGCACGAATGCACGAATAATCGGACTTGACTTAATACGTCGATCGCTGTTAACGGCTTTAAAGATGCGACTTCATGTAGCGAGAAATCACTGGCGACTTGAGATAGGTGGGAGAAAAAATGACGCCAACGTCAAAGTTAGTCAAGTATTCGTCGCTTTTCTGCAGCTTTCTATTCGTCTAACGACACTGGTCTAGTTTCCGAGGATTTAATCTGGGTCGGGGAATCGATTCCGTATCTTAAAATGAGGTGAAAATTATAAAAGTGAGCAAATTTACTAGAATATTAATTATTTCATTGGTCAACACCTAGTAAATTTGCTCTGCTGTTTTTGTAATTTTTATCTTGTTTGAAAATATAGAATCAACCCCCAGAATGTAAGGGTGAAATCACACAGTGTGGAAAAGGGCTGCGGAATAGAGAATTAGCGTTTTCGGCCCGACCGGGTTTACATCAACTTGGGTTAGAAAATGCTTCGCTATTGGTTGACATTACATGCTTTACCAATAGGAGAGCATGAAATATCATTATTTCAATCCAGGTTAGCGCAAACTCGGTCGGACCGAAAACACTATTTGACTGACTGATCAAGTTTACTCTGTTGTCAGCAAATCGACAAACAGTCCATTGACTGTTCTTTAGGGATTTCGTGTATCTTCTATTCAACAGCCTGTCGTAATATTTACAAATTTATTATATAAATATTCATTAATTCAAAACATTTAATTCATTAAATCAAATTTATTAATTAGAAATTTGCCTTAACATCGCAAAAACTAATTTTTAATGTCTAACAATTTAAATCTAACAAACTAGATGTATCGGTCCATATTTATTTTATACATTGTTTTTTATAATACAACGAACACTTACACGTAAAAAATATACAATGCGTATGGATGTACATATTGCAGTATACTATCCAGTATGTATAAATGTAAATTCTTAAAAAATCTCAAATAATTCTTTTAATAAACATACTGTTTCGCCAACGCTCTCAAAAATTTAGCTTTACGAATATTAGCCGCTTCTCTTTGGATCTCTTCGTTGTTGTTAGAATTTAATTCTAATAAACCAATGACTTTGATCTGCAAAATAAAATTTTTATAGAGAATAATAATTATAAAGAGATATATTGATCTACTGATATTATAATAACCAATTATTTAAAGTGATTAATTGTTATTTATAGTTATGTCACTATTATAAAATCATGTAACACTTAATATTGACTTGATTCAGTTACTTACCGCGAGTTGCTTTCTGTGGTGCTCTCCACGCTTCGTATGCAACTGTATAAGATACTCTAGTATCGTTGTATCCCAAATACAATGATAATATGCATCCATAGCATCAGCTGCGGCACAGCTTTTCTGATCGCTAGCTGCCATTTTGAACGCCAAAGAATAATCCACTTCCTCCAAAAATTGACATAACACAGCCGCCTGAGTGTAACATTGTAAATGAGCGCAACATTTGATCATCCTTCTATAAACAAGATCGTCTATTTGTGTGCGTGGGATAGGTTGACTAAATAAATCGCTGGCTATCATGATTGCCTCCAAATAATATCTCATTGCACTTTCATAATAATTTAGAACTAAAAGCAAAGAGTAAATTATTAACAGTCTTATATATATATAATGCAAATATAATATATAAATATAAATGTAATATATAAAATACAAATATGTATATTATAATATTTATATATTATCGTATTTATTTGTATTTGATAAAACAAAACATACCAAAATTAAGATCACCCATCAGCCTCAACCAAGGCACATTGCAGGGATAATATTTTAGAGCTTGTGTCAACAATTGGAATAATAATTCTCCAATATGTCTGATGTTATACGAATTTGCGCTGTAAATATTAATTTCTGTATAGGTATCACTTAAGATATTGAATATACTACTAATATTCAAAATACATTAGTAATATTAAATATTAAAATTTTTAATTGTTACTATAAAAATATGTAATATGTATTATACGAGTTTAAAAAAAACTATTACAATAAATATGCAATATATTGTAATAAACTCACTTTGGTACTCCGGCAGGCCAAAGAGATAAATACTGCGTGTGTAACTCTAGACTCGACTCATCACGCAAAATATTGCGCAAACGAGCTAATAGTGATATTACTACAGTGAGAACCATAGGTTCTCGTAATCGAGTAAGTGTAAGGGTAATATTAGCAGCAACATCTCTTGACGAACTAGAACTTCCACTATTACTGCCACTACTGCTACGTTTCTGTGACTGATCTCTAGTGGGGCCAAATGCTGCTAAGACTAAAAGAACATATGATTTTATTCAATAAAATTTATTTTATATTTTCTTATTTTTTAGCATAAAACAAATGGACTGTTTACTGCATATGAAGGAAAATTATTTCCTTTATCTAGCATTGTCAATTTAATACATAAATAATAAAAATTTCAAAATATGAATCTTTTTTTTAAAAAAGATTCTGTGTGTGTGTGTGTCTTTAATAAAGATACTCACTCATATCCCATGCGTCTCGCGGAAATTTGCGGGTTCCTTTGTATTTAACAATGTCTTGGCAAACGTTACTAATGGCAGCTGCAAATTCAGTGTAATTCCAGCGCTTCTCCAAACTAGTAAGATATTCCCACTCAGCTATATTTAGGAGGAAAACCGTGCAGTATTCTATTACTTCTTGTCGCGGAATTAGTTGATCAGATGCTTGTAATGCACCAAGACATTGTTTACTCCGTACAATCATACTTTGCACATCACCTAAAAAATATTGAATTATTACAAATTCATTGTCCTTTTTATAATTCTTAATTCTCCATATACGTACAGACGCTTGTCGTCGGCCAAGCTTGAAAACACTTCCATATCTCAACAAGCAGGCATTCCCAACTCACTAATTTGCACAGCTTAAAGATCAATGAGCCTCCGCTTTTTACGTGTTCTTGCAATTCTTTATCCAATACCTTGAGAAGCTCTATGGCGCCGTCAAAGTTTTTGGAAGTTACCAATTCTCGACTCTTTGCAAGTAGAACATATGAATAATCCTGAAGAAATCCCCTAGGAAGCGTCATTACCACACTCTGCAATGGAATGGGTAACTCCCAACAGCCATTTACATGATATAACGGTTTCATTCGATGTTTCCCATCAAGTTGAATCAACATTTCACGAATTACATGAGGATCATATGACTCTATCAACTTTTGTTCCAATTCAAACACTTCAATTCTTGTTTTTTCTATAAATTAAATTTATAAATTAAATTTTTTCTATAAATTTTAACAAAAAAAATTATAGTCCATATATATTAAAATTTTAATAACACATTTAAAAAAACCTTCTTTTATTTTTCTTGTAATAGTTTATGCTTACGTATAAATGATATAGATGGAATCCCCCAATCGTTATGTAGTAACAAGTCTGGTATTTCTACCTCATCAGAAACAGTTGCTTGCTGAAGGACTGCAAGTTCTGCTTCATCGAATAATGATGCATAAGAAGGATTGTTAAATAACTTTGAAGCAAGTCCTTCTATATTAGCAGTATTTACAAGATAAAGAAGGTAACGTGAAATTCGTTTTTTATCCATAATTGTTGCTTTTTCCAGGACATTATCTAAAGCCTAGTACATAATAAAATGTGATTAATAATTTGTTATTCAATAATTTAGAAAAACATTTTATTAAATTATATGAATAATTAATATTAAATTAATATATACTAAAAAAAAGTAAGGAAAATTATTTTACAGAATAAAAAAAATCCAGAAACTTTTATTTTCAACTATTTAAAAGAAAAAAATTATTTTGTCAGTAGAATCACAGAATTTAATGGAGAAGCATTCAAAAATGTAAATAAAAGCTATTTTACCCAAAATAAAACATCTAGACCCTTTGTACCAGCTGCCTTAATTTCAGTTATGTAGTCACCCAAGATTATACTATCATCAAGAATTTTTCTAACCAGATTCAAGCACTCTATTTGCAACAAAAGATCGCGGGCGACTACAAATTTTCTGTTAACTAATCCACCTTGCACATCCAGCTCCAAATTATCTCTATAAACTTGTGGTATCTCCCTGAAAACATTATCTGCTTGCAAAATCTGCAATATATTCTGCAGATTTTGCATGTATTATGAATATACATTATTCAAAAGTATATACGTGATAAATGCATAAAAATATACCTACAGTGTATTGATCTTTGATAGAAGCATGTAAACGCTGCGTAAGACTAAGCGTGATTTCTTCTAGTGGTACTTCACATGCTAAACAACAGCCGTCTAAAAATTCTTTCTGCACTTTACAATAATTTAATTTTTCTGTTGGATTAAAATTACTGTATAACTCTTTTGCCTGTTTAATATGGCGTTTGGCCTCTTGATAATCTTCTCTCAATAAATGAAACATTGCGAGATCATAATGTATCTAAAAAATAATTTATTTCATTATTTCCTCTCAACGTCAAAGATAATATTCAGCTCTTGCAATTCTCATACCTGACATTTAAACTCATCTATGTTTACCAAGTACATATTTTCCCAATTTTGTTTGATTTCTGTACTATCCTCTGTCAGCATTTGAAAAGTATCAAAAGACAAAACCTTTGGCTTTATATCGGTCATTTGTAAAATATCATTTAGGGCACTTACACTATTTGGTATGTGCGTTTCTAATTTCCTAATAATATCATCTACTATACCAGGAGGTACATATGTTGATTCTTGAGTACCTGGTCTAATTTGCAGTAATATTCTTTTAATCACAGCTCGTAATAAATTAAAATCATTTCAAAGTATTGCAATAATATATTATAAAAGAAATATAAAACTTACATGTGAAGTAATTGTTGTTTTGGTTGTTTATTGCTAAGAGCTCTACAAATAATCGCTCTTAGATGCCATCTATAGTATAAAACCAATGTAAATAGAAGCTGGTCAGAAGCTGTTTCCATAAAAAATTCTGGAATTGTAGGAATTTCTACTGCAACATCTGCAGTAATATAAAATAGATCTTGCAATAATGTCAACTGTATCGGCAGAGGTAGTTTCTTTTCTAACACATCCAAGTCCCATTTGAGATAAGCCGCTACTTTCAAAGAAAGTATTTTTAATGCTAAATTTCTGTGAGTCCATTTGTTTGTACCGTTGGACTTTACATCATTTGATTCTACATC